TAGATTAAATTAAAAGATCTTTTATATAAAAAAAATTTAAAAAATATTTAAAATATTTTTTAAAAAATCATTTATTAGATGTTAGAAAGTTGTTGGTACATTTGTAAGTTCAAAAGGCATGACATTATATTAAAAACATCTACAATTTGTTCAAAATATAGTCTTATACTTATATCTTTTTTAATACATACCAAGTTGTATGCTCATTGTAGATCTATTTTGGTACAAATCTTTGTTTGATTCAGTTACTCAAAAAATATTTATATCAAAAATAGAAATTACTTATTTTTTATGATTATCTTATTGAATCCTCAATAATCCATACATATCTATAGGAATCCATCTTTTTTCTTCACAAATAAGATAAGAGTTCTTGTTAGAGATTTTAAATAATATATAGAATTCTTAGCCAAGTTCTCATCAATATAATCTTTGAGTGTAATTAAGTTATTTTAAAATAAGCTATAAATTAGTCTAAATAAAACTTAAGCTTCTTGAAGATTAATTAAGCAATCATAAGAACAAAACTTTGGAAGAATATTTTTATTTTTATTCACAAAAATATCTCAATAATCCTTATAATAGATTAAAAGTTTTCTTGAAGTCTTTTCAATATTAATAATAAATAGCATAGATAACAAAAGATAATCATTCTTTTGTAATATAAATAAAAATAAAAATAAATCTACAAATAAAGATTTGATAGTATCATGAATTTTTTCTTAGTTATTAAAAGTCTTAATTATGCTATAAGAAAAATTGAGATTTTGAGAAATCTAATCTATTTAAAGGTTATACTTTTATAGCCACAATGAGCTTAAAATGATTGAATTTGAAGAAGATTTAATAATATTTAATATCACTAAATTATTATAATTAATTGTTGTTATATTTACAAGCATAGTTTATGAATAACATCTTTAGAAGAGAAAAAAATAACCATCTATAATTTCTACATGCACATATTTATTTTTCTTTATCAAAGATATTCTAAGTCTTTTAATAAATTATTTATTAAAAAAACAAGTTGAGGCTCTTGAATCTAAGAAGGCTAAGACTTTGTATTTTTTAGGTTTAAAATAAGTATCTATTATAAAATAAAATGAGGATTTTGAAGAAAAAATAAAATCTTCACTAAATATTATATAAGTTTTTAATCACAATATCCTTATTATAAATAGAAAAAAAACTTTATTTTCAACACAATGTTTTTTTTACATCCATATTTTTCATTTTGTAGTTGTTTTATATTTTTGAATAATATTAAGCAATGTGTTTAGCTTTTCTATGATTTAAGCACAATACCTCTTAACAATATCAAGTCTTTTTGTGCACAATAAGAGCTTTAAAATATACTCCATTTATTTTCATATGCTTTCATCTTAATGAATAAATTTCTAAAAATTTAGAAAATATTTTTATGATTTTATTTTTTCTTCTTCAATCAAATCTTTATTTTTTGACATCTTTCATAAAGTCAATTGTTGCATGTACTAGCTTGAGTAATACTTTTTTTAAATGACTTTTTTTTAATATTATTAATAATAAATCTTTGATATTATTTTTTAATCTATATTAAAATAGATTTTCAAGGGCTTTATTATTTTAATACACATCACAAGCAAGGTTTTGGAATTTGATAATATAGATGGTAATTGTTTGTTATATTTGTTATAAAGATAAGAATTTTTTTTTTGCTACCATTTTTCAATGATTCTTTTCAAATATGGATATAAAAACTTTTGAGAATTATTTTAGATCATATAGAAGTTATACATATTTTTTTTATTGAAAGCATAAATAAATAAATAAAATTATAAAAAAAAAAACACTTCTAAATAGAAATGCACCTATAAATTTAACTTGAATAAATTTTTCAAGATATTGATTTATATATAACCTTAAATATAGCTTGGCTTATTGTAAAAATCCTTAAAATATTGATCTTGCTCCATCAAACATCTCCAACATATTAATCTTTGTCTCTTTTATATTTATAGTAATAAGACTTTTTGGTTTTAATTGTGAGTTTGATCTATTTGCTTTTCTTAAGTAAACATGTTTTTGGTGTAGATATTTGACCTCATTGTTAATTTCTTATATAGGCATAGAAAAAATACTTCTATGGTTGATATTGGAAATACACAAGATCTCTTTTTAAGAGTATTGAAAAGCTTATAAAGATCTGCAATAGTTCCAAATTTATTTTCACTTCTATCAATTGTAGCTTCCATGATTTTTTATTCTATCTCTATAATAGAAAATTTTAACAAATCTACAAGAAACATTAGTAGAGAGTAATCTACAACTTCTAATAATAAATAAATATTTTTATAAAAAATAAAATCTATGCTCTTAAAAAAAATAATGCTAAAAAATAAAAAAATGATAGTTTAAAGGTAAAAAATCCACAATTTTTAAAATACAATAATAAGAAGTAGTATAATCTACTTATTTTTATAAAAAAAGCACAATAAATAAGTAATATTTTCAAATTGTTAAAGACATAAATTATAAAAAAAAATCTAAATAAATAATATATCCTTTTGATATTAAAAATAAATAAGTAAAAAAATAAAAGATAGATATAAATTAAAAATTAGAATTACTATTTCCAATTACAAAGACATCAGAGATTTTTAAACTAAAAGAAGAAGCTAAGAAAGATATTGATAAGAATGAAGAAGAATTTATTTTTGCATCTATATACACTATTTAACTAAAAGATATGTGGTGACATTGTATAGGTCATTTAATATGTGTCTAATTTGCATGACAAGTTTGCAATATGTGCACCATATGGACAACTTGTTTGATAAGTGATCAACTTGTAAAGCAAGTGGTCAATATATGCAACATATATCCAACTTATTCGCTATGTTTTCAACCAAGCAATCACCTACAAATAGTTTAAAAGTCAAATTTGCATCTATGAAGCTTCTAAAAGTTTTTCCACAACATATTATCAAATTTATCTACTTCTATTTACTTGTATGTAATTTTATTATATTTTATTAATTGTAATATGTTTATGACATATAATATAAAAAAATAATTCATATAAATATTAAATAATAAGTAATTATTACTTGAATATAATTATTAAGTTATTATTTATTAAAAATAAAATATAAAATTAATGTGTATAATATAAGATTGTATAATTATTTTACAAAAAGTAAAAAATTTCAAAAAAAAGAATAAATTAAATATGAAATTATTAATATGTATATATCTAATTTTTTATAAAAATAATATTTTAATTTTAATTTCATAATAAAAATATTTAAAAATAACTTTTAAATTTTTTGTATCACATTTTATAATATAATAAAATTATCAAAAATTATTATAAATTTTCTTATACCTGATGAATTTGACTTGAATTATGAAAGTTAATTATGTAAATATTTGTTATTTCTTAATATTATCTATCTCTACAATTGCAACATATGCACTGTTACTCCTAGCAATACTTTGTAATGGATTTATTATAAGGATTTTTATAATTATTTAGGAATTTTTAGAACATATTTTTAAGACTTTGTTAAAAATAAATTTATCATCTTAGGAGGCTATTATGAAGAATTAGAGGAAGATTTGAAGGTCTTGCAAGGTTGTATGACTACTTCAATGTAATAGGACACCATATTGTAGTCAAAAATACCAAAAAAGAGATTTTACTAGTAGAAAATAGGAAGACTAGTAGTTAGTATTGAAATTATAAGAGAGAAGGTGCATATATCTTATGAAGGTTGTAGTACCTTGAATGTAGGCAGGGAGATAAGAGTAAATCCTTATTGCCTCTCTTGCATACCCATATATACTACTGGTGAGCCTTAATGAAGTTTAAATCCTTGATCTCTTAAACAAATCACTTTCCAAACATCCATTTTTTATTTATTATTTATTTTTTTAATCTCATATCTTTAAACTATCATAATTTATTGATAATAACTTAGATTTACATCTTTTTTTATATTATCTAAAATATAAAAAATCACCTACATAATATTCTACTTTTTACTTTATAATTTGTTTTTCATTGATTGAAAACTAGTAAATAGACTATGACTAGATTTTGGGGTGTGTAATTATTTGATTGTATTTTTTTTCACTTGTTTTTTTCTTGTTCTTCTTTATTTCTTATTGATTGTGTCTCTCACCACACACCACCAATAACAAGCAATTTTTAAATGAGGCCATCTTGAAATTTGGATTGAAGGGTGAATTTTATCCTCTCAAAGTATATCATGCCAATGGCACATATAATCACATTGAACTCATCTTATAAATGTTGTTCACAAAGTAAGCATTGTCTATTGAAGAATGTGTCACTACAACTACACCAAATAAATACATACAATCAAAAAGTTGAATCACAAAAGTAACAAGGTTAACACTCTTCAAATTTATGTAGTAAGTGTGGAAAATAATACATATTAAAAGATTTCTCTTCATGGTGGGAACAATATTGCATAAATCCATTGTTGGATTCACTTTCATTAGTAAAGAGTACATGATTCTGTGTTTAAAAGTAGCTTTAGTTTCCAATGAGGCAATTTAAAACTTTTCCAAAAACATGCAATTTAAGAAAAGAAAAGGGAAAAATTAGAAGAATGTTTTGCTCAGCAATGCACACATTATCCTGGCTCATAGATTGCAACACAGGAATCTGTTTTGCCATTGGTACAGTACAATCACCCTGCAATAAAAACAAAAAACATTCACTATTCGAGTATCGAACAGGAGTAGCAAAAGAAGGTGACATGGTGCAGCTCAGCCAGCAGAGAGCCTCCCTGCGGAACTGTGGTGGTTCAAGCCTTCCCTGGGCTGCACTGGGCTGGACTGGACTGGACAGGGAGGGAGGGGTTCGTGATGGTGATGGTGAGGGTGTCGTGGTGGCACTGCGAGCTGCACATCCAGAAGCGAACTTGGATCGCAGTGGGAGGGCAGGGAAGGGAAGGAAAGGAAGGAAAGAAGGGCTGCCTCTGTTCCCATTCATCTCCAGTCCTGGTGCAAACTCCCTCTGCTTCTTCTCCTCTTCGCCTCGCCTCGACTCCCCTCGACTCGCCTCCTCGTCTCCCACAGTCTCGAGCATGTGCGCGCTGGCATTGCTCACGCGCTTCCCTTTCCCCGCGCCATCACCCTGCGGCCCATCCCTCGCCCTTCGCCATTCTCTGTCTTCTTCTTCCCTGCCTTGCTCCCCCCCTGCTCCCCTCCTCCTCCTCGCTCCTCGCCCTCTCCCTCGCCATCGTCCCTGCTTCTCCGTCTTCTGCTCCTCCTCCGCCCCTTCTCCCATGGACCCCCTCTCGTTCCTCTCCATTCACAAGGACTTTCTCCGTCACGCTTCCTCTCAGTTCCCGCTGCCCCCAGGTTCTTCTCCTGCATCACTCATCCTCTGTCGTTTCTTTATTCGACTGTGCTTTGCATTTCCCAGTACTGTCCACCGTCCCCCTATTTTCCTCCTACTTTTTAATCTATTAAGGTCTTGTATAATTCCGATTGTCGTGCTATGCCACTATGCGTGGGGACCTTCTTTTGAGGATTTAAATGCTCAGCCGTATACTCGATCGGGAATGTCAGCTCCTTGTGTATGGGAGATATGAATTTTGTCTTCTAGTGGATGCAGGTGTGAAATTCTCCTATGGAACAGCAGGCTTTCGTACAGACGCAGCACTGCTACCTTCTACGATTTTTCGCATGGGCGTGCTGGCTGCGTTGCGTTCAATCTGTACTCAGGCTGTTACAGGGCTGATGATTACGGCTTCTCACAACCCTGTGCATGAGAATGGTGTGAAACTTGTGGACCCTAGTGGCGGCATGCTGGCCGTATCTTGGGAATCTTACTCGGACTTGCTAGCTAATGCACCTGATGAAGATGATTTCATTCAGGTGTGTATTGATTGATGTCTTGCAAGCTTTGTGTTTTTCTTTTCTATTTTCTTTGTTTCATTTCAATGCGTGTTCACCCTGACGTGACCAATTTGGCACAGCGCAGTCTGCGCATCGTCTTGATGGGAAACGGAAAAAGTGCGAATGTCCGTGTTAACCTCTTTTATAATTTCTTCTCAGTTTTATTTGGTCCCTGCTTCGCCATCTTCCTTGTGTTCGATGATTAGTATCTTTTTTTTCTGACTCAGCTGCATTGCAGTTCTCTGCATTGTTTAATGAGTAGGCATCGTATCGATCTTTACTGTTTGTTGCTGATGGTTATCTGTGTTTATTTGGTCACATTTTTATGTTCAAGGTTGTTGAGCACATCGTAATAAATGAGAAGATTCAGAGAAAAGGTAAGACTGGCGAGATGGTGTATCTCGGAAGGGACACGAGACCTAGTGGAGCGTCTCTCCTCGAGGCCGCACTCAAAGTAATACTTCCTCTCGGTTCTCAATGCACATGTGAGTGTCTTGATTGTTCTGGTGGTCCATTGAGAGTTGGACTTTTCGGATATTTGATGTCTTGCAAGCTTTGTGTAATTCAAATGCAGCTTTGAATTATAGTTCTATATGCGCATGTGATGAAGGGTGTAGAAGCCGTCAGAGGAGTGCAAGCGCAAGACATGGGAATCCTGACCACTCCTCAGTTGCACTGGATGGTCCGATGTTCTAATAGAAGGGTTCCAGCAACCGAATCCGACTACTTTAAAACACTTTCCAGGGCCTTTAGGTAGTGCAGCCCCTCCATGATCTAAGCTTACCATGTTGAAAATGAATCGTTTGCAGTCATTTTTGAAGAAATCTAGTCTATTACTGCTGAAATATGTGTTGATCATATCCCATGTTCAGTTCTAATGAAGTCTTGTGATGTACAACCGCACTCATGTGTCTATACTAGTGGCGGTTATTTTCTTTTCATTGAAGTGCTTGGGTATGCTTTCTAAATCACAAATATTTCAATCCTCTGGATCTCAAAGAAAACGTGATTTGTGAATTCCATTTCGAAGCACGCTGCAAGCACTTCAATCTGAACGTGTGTTGACAGTATTTTGTCAGGTTTACGACCAGCTGGTTATGGGGAACCAACCGTTTTTGAGAACCTTATTGTGGATGCAGCCAATGGTGTGGGTGCTGAGAAGTTATTACAATTGCTCAAGATCACACCAAGCTTGAGACTACAGGTTCGGAACTCCGGATTTGAAGGAGAAGGATTACTTAACGATGGTGTCGGTGCTGATTTTGTGCAAAAGGAGAAGATCCCTCCTCGTGGCTTTGAGGTTTTATCAGACAACTTGAAGAGGTACCATGTGTTTTAAATTATTAGTGTTCTATTATAATGTTTCAGAACCTCAGGCTCCTGAAGCATCTTCCAAAATGTACCCTGGTACGTACTATGCATTATTTTGAACTTTAGTTTTTGGGTATGATCTACAGGGATACAGTTGTGTTAACTTGTTATGTTTTCGAAATCTTTCTTCTTATAATTTGGTTGATACTTTTTCAGTTCATAGCATGTTAAACATGACTCGTCTTGTTTTTGTGTTGCTAAGACCTCATTTTGGATTTTATCTCCAGGTGTGCGAGTCTTGATGGTGATGCTGATCGTCTTGTATATTTTTACATGTCTTCAATGTCGCAAACGGATCAAATTTCTCCCTCTTTACAATTGCTGGATGGTGATAAGATCGCTACTCTATTTGCCTCTTATATTATGGATCAGATACAAATTTTGAGAGGGACAAGCTCGTTTTCTGCAGTGACGAATCCTAACGCTTCCATTCCTGGTTTCGGTACCGTGAAAGTTGCTGTGATACAAACAGCTTACGCAAATGGTGCATCTACAAAATATATCAAACAAGTGCTGGGTTTAGAAGTTGCGGTAACTCCTACTGGGGTTAAGCATCTTCACAAAAGAGCTGCTCAGTATGATGTGGGAATTTATTTTGAGGCCAATGGTCATGGGACTTTTCTTTTTAGTGACAACTTCTTGCAATGGCTACAGGAAGTGGCATCACAAAAAGAAAAAGGTGTATGATGAGCAGATTTATTTCAATAACTTTACCTTCATTCTTGCTTAGATTCGATGGATCATTGTGGGCACAAAGTGCCACTCTCATCATGTCATCTTTAGTCATAGTTTTCGCCTCAAACGTATTCCTACAACAATTGCACAGCAGAGAAAAACGTAGCCCGGAAAATTAATACGGTAATTGCCGATCTTGCAGGGGAGGTATGTCAGGCAGCAACAAGGTTGTTGGCGGTCAGTGAGATGGTTAATCAAGCTGTTGGAGACGCCCTGAGTGGAATTTTGATGGTGGAGACTGTTCTCCAGTATCGCAACTGGTCATTGCAACAATGGAATGCGATGTACACAGATCTGCCTAGTCGACAACTGAAGGTAAAGGATTCTTGATACAAGTTATGTCTATTTTGAGATGTTACAAGCTGTGTGGTTCATTTTCATCTTCATTTAGTCGCATCCTTGATGAGGCTGCGCAGTAATTATGTTGTGTTTGACATGTATTGGGTTCTGTAATACCAAATCTGTATTGTTTTGGTTTGCATCTGTAAATCTTTTCCTAGTCTGATCGCATCTTTCGCATTAGTTTGCCATCGAAGGTTCAGTTCCAGAGTGTATGGAACTTAAGTTTTTGGTCTTGTTCCCATTGTCAATGTGCAGGTGAAAGTTGCAGATAGGTCCGTAATTCAAACAACAGAGGCTGAAACTAAAGTTGCTTCTCCGCCTGCTCTTCAAGCTGCAATCGATTCGGCAGTGGGTGAGTATTTGCGAAAGATGTTTGGTGTGAAACTTTTCTAACTGAGCAGCGTCTGCTCCGTAACACAGACCTTGATTTCAAGTACTTTTAGGAAATTCACACCCTATCTCATTTGGATGCTGCAGAGAAGTATGAGGGAGGAAGGGCTTTTGTGCGACCATCAGGAACCGAAGACGTGGTTCGGGTGTATGCTGAGGCTCAGACACAGAAAATCGCTGATTCTTTGGCACGAGAAGTTGCTATTCAAGTATTTCAATTAGGAGGTGGGATTGGAGAAATGCCGTGAAGCTGAATTCGTCGGGGTGTCCATCTAATTGGAAATCCATCTCCGCTTTCGCGTCACTTAATTTGCTGTTGCCGCTTTGAAGAATTGTGGTTTTTCCAAGTTAGACTTTATGTACCCAAGAGAAAAGAATTCATCGACCATAAGACATCAATAATTGGAAAATATAGGTTTCACTTGCCCATACGAACGGTTAATCTATGTATTATGGGACAAGATATTTATATTGTGAAAGGAGGAATTTTTATAGCCGACCATTTAGTCATTTACGGCCAGTGTACTCGAACTGATACAAATTAGAAAACTCGCTTTTCAGATTGCAGCACAGACGACACTTTAATTTCGTAAATGAAATCTTGATACATTCTGAAAATGAAGATCCCAGTCACGATGTAAAATTGGTGATGGAGAAATTTCAACTACAAGGATCATATGCCTAATGAGAAGTATATTTTTCAGCAATAATTACAAATAGTCGAATTCTTACTTTGCATTAAGCAGATCCGATCCACAGACCTTGAAAAGTTTGATGAACTTCACGGACAAAAGATGTACATCGCTGCTTGGTTTTTGCAAATTTCTAAAGATTTTTTTATCAAAGACCTTTTTAAACATGCAACCCTATCAATAAGAATGATTTCTAGAAGAAAAAAAGAAAAAAAGAAATTCGTTTATAAAGGGTGCCTTTGTATGAACATCAATATTAGTTCATATAAATAATATTAATAAAATCACTCTCTATGGAAATAGATTTTACTTTGCTTAATATTTTAATAATATAATCACAACAAGTTCCATTTTGCTCCACATTTCTCTTAAAACATTTCTACCACAAAAATTAAGTACAAAATTTACAATAAGATTTTTTTAGCATTAATCGATGTTCTTGAAGAATGGCGCTATTTATTAGAAAAGGCTCTATAAACAATAATCATATATTGATCTCAACAACTTGGAGTATCTTATAAGTAATTAAATTTTGAACTAATGACAAGCCAAATGGAATAATATGATATAATCTCAACTTGACTTCAAAATTATATACTAAATTAATAACTTCTAAGAAAAGTAAGATGTTCTTTCTTGTGGGTTTATTAGGCACTTACAAAAGAAATATAAAGTTAAACCAAAAAAAAGTCTTAAAGCCATCATGTTGTTCTCGTTGTATTTAAGCTTCAATATACTAAAACAATTGAACTAATAGATGTGGGTTTGAATACGGGGAAAGACTGGTTATATGAATTGGGTCTGTTAGTGTCACGATTGACTATACTCTGCCTATCTGAAATCAATTATCAAACTACAAAACACCAAGGCTTACTACTTTTGTCTTAATTCAATCCATAATCCATTTTACCACTATCAATTCAACAATACTTCCATATTCTTATCCGTTCATCTCCCACTTACTCTCTTTGTGGTTTATATATATATATATATATATATATATATTCAATTACTGATCTCCGGCTTACCTATTGTATTCAGTTTCTCAATTCATCACACAGAATTCAATATCTCGGCTTATGACTCTCACAATCTGGCACTCCAGACTAACTTCTCAATATTCAAAAACTATCCATTACTCGTCAACAACAAAGAAACAAAAAGAGGTAGCACCAAGCTTGCCCCGGCTTACGACTATCACAATCTGGCCTCGATCTCCTTTCTTCAACCTCTTTATCCTATCAAAAGATGGACCGTCGGCTAATGGATTCCAAAGGTTATGACCTTTTGAATTATTAACCATTTATTCCATTAACAACCTACTGTTACCAACTAAACTGCCTAACCATCAGTCTAATTCTCAAGGTTATCAATAACCAAGAAGTAACTTACCACAAAGTTTATTTATCTATTCTACATGGCTCCACTCCTAATAATGCAGCGCCCTCGCAAACATTATTTAGCCTCAACTTATAAAGACGTAGTAGCGTTGGCTTCTTTAGTCAATGGCGTTGGCTTACCACCCTTTGAATTGGTGACCTTCTCCTCTTTATATCTTCGTCATCTGCCTCGGATTTCGATGGTTCTCCATCCAAACGAGCCGTTTGATCTTCATTCAACAAATCTAATTCTCGTACCTGAGACTCAAGATGGTAATTTGGTTGTCGCACTCCTCCAATATCTTCTACTATTCTTCTCTCGGTTTCAAAGGTATCTTCGAAGGAGTTGTTGATGAAATTGGAGTATTGGTCTGCACTAAATTATTGGCCTGCTTCGCTAATGCGGCTAGTTTAGTTTGCAACATCGCAACCTCTACATGCAGCCGTTCTTGCCGTTCCTTCCAATCAGCCTCCATCCTTGCTTTCTCAAATATCATGTTCGCCATCTTCTCCTTAACTACAAAAAAAAAAACACACAATGCATGTCAAGAGCCCCCCTCCTACTTCTTACTATGGTCCAATTAATTGGGTCGACTCCCCCTTATTTCCCACGATTCGTTATGATGAAATACCCTATCATCATCATTATTTATTCTCCCCCACCTTTTTGGAACAAAAAACCCATCTCGAGTTTATATATAGTAAAGTTAAAGCCAATTGCCATTGATCTGTGTTATAAATTTAATACCCATAAAATCTTCCAATTGCACGGAACCATCTAGAAATCCGTCAATAACTCGATATGGGCCATACCATCGAACTTGAAATTTTTTTGAAATTTTTTTAAATCAATTATCATAAAGAAGTACCAAATCATTTGGCATAAAAGCCTTTGGTCTAAGCTTACTATCATAATAAGTCTTCCTTCGTTTTTGTGTAGTTTCCATGATCATTAATGCATTGGCTCTAGTTTCATCCAATTTTTTCAATTTTTCTAAACGGTGCCATAATAAATCTTGATCTTTCAATCTATTAAATATAACAATTCGTATACTTTGGACTTCCAATTTAATAGGTAATATTGCTTCCTGGCCATAAACCAATTGGAAAGGGGTAGCATTGGTAGTAACTTTATATGCAATACGGTATGTCCACAAAGCTGCAAACAACTTAGTGTCCCAATCTGTTCCCGCTTCTGAAACTGATTTTGTTAAGATTTTACATATAATTCCATTAGTCTTTTCCATTTGTCCATTGGCTCTAGGGTGATACGGTATATTCTTTCGATGTTTTATCTCATATTTAGCCATGAGTACTTCAATTGTACTATTTATAAATGAGTTCTTCGATCACTAATCAATTCTCGTGGACAACTAAATTATGTAATAATATTTTGATACAAAAAGGTTGCTACTGTACTTGTACTATCAATTTTGTAGCTACGGCTTTAGCCCATTTTGTTACGTAATCCATTGCTACTAGTATATACCATTTTTGTCCATTTCTCGAAGTTGGTGCAATTGGTCCTATAAAATCAATTCCCCATTTTTCAAAAGGCGCTTGAGCTAGAATTGGTACCAATGACATTGCTGAAGTTCTAGTACGTCGACCCGTTCTTTGATATGGGTCACAATGATGGATGAATTGGTGGGCATCTGCAAACATTGTTGGCCACCAATAACTAGCCTATAAAGCTTTACGAGCCATGCTGTCCTCCGCAAAATGTCCACCACAATTGTCCAAGTGGAAACCTTCCAATATAATACACACTTCAGTTTGATAAATACAGCGTCGCAAAACTCCATCCTTACCTTGTTTATATAAAGCTTCACCAATCATTGTATAAGGTGCACATTTTAATGTTAAGCATCGTTTAAGCTTTTCATTGAAATTGGGTGGAAAGATTTGTAATGTCAAGTATTGAATTATTTTACTATACTCCGGAGTAATTACATCTATCGCAAACAGTTTCGCATCAGATAGTGCATCATTAATGGATTCATTATCCAATATATTGGATAATCGAGATAAATGGTCCGCATTGGGATGTGATTTTCTTCGTCTTACCTAAATAGTAAAGTCAAATTCCTGCAATAGTAAAATCCATCGTACAATACGACCATTCAATTGAGGCTTATGAATCATTTATTTTAAAGCATCATAGTTGACATGGGAAACACATTTATAACCAAGAAGATAATTTTGAAACTTTTGTACAGAATAAATCATCCCAAATGCTTCTCTTTCGGTTGTTGTATAATTTCTTTTAGCTGCTATTAATTGACGACTTGCATAATAAATAGGATGATCAAAACCCCGATCATCTTTTTGGCTTAGTACAGAACCAATCGTGACATTAGATGCATCCACATAAACTTGGAATGGTTTTGTCCAACAAGGTGCCACCAATATTGGTGCTGAAATCGATTTCTGTTTCAATGTTTCGAATGCAATTGTAAATTCGTTTGTCCAAAATGGATTGGTCCCATCGGTTGGTGGTTTCTTCAAGAGATTTGTCAAGAAAAGGCATATAATTGCGAATAGATATATAAATCACCGATAATAACTAACATGGCCGATAAATGCTCGAACACCCATATCAATGTCTGATTGCTTTAATTCTCCTATAATCTTTATTTTATTCGGATCTGTAGCAATGCATGCCATCGAAACTATATGATCCAATAGTTTACCAGAAGATACACCAAATTTGTACTTTTCTAAATTTAAAGAAATTCCATATTTGGCCCATTCATACAAACATTGACCTAGACATTCTAAATGCCTACTTCTCATATTAAATGTACAAAAATCATCTAGAAATATTTCCATTGAAATTCGTAGATAATCTTCGAATGCCTGCATTATTATCATTTGAAATGTAGCTGGTACATTACAAAGTCCAAACGGCATAACCTTATAAGCAAAGGTCCCCCAATCCATAGTAAAAGTAGTTTTTAATTGGTCTTCTTTTGTAATTTTAACTTGATTATAACCGAAGAATCCATCAAGAAATGAATAACATTCATGTCCAGCAACGGCATCCAGTATACTATCCATGAATGGTAAAGGAAAATAATCCTTTTTAGTAGCCGCATTTAATTTGTTGAAATCTTGACAGATGCAAACTTTTCCATTCTTTTTTGATACCATAACAATTGGTGAAACCCATTCATTGAAAGGAACAGGATAGATAAATCCAACTTCTAATAGTTTATCCAACTCTTCTTTTACAATAAGTGAGTATTTTGAATTAAGTCGATGTTGTCTTTGGCGTATTGGTGTAGTGTTCTCCTCCAATATAATTCGATGCTTACAAACTTCAGGTGGAATTCCTTTCAAATCCGCATACAACCATGCAAAAGCAGTTTTATGCATTAAAAAGTAATCCACCCAAATTTCTTTCTCCTTGCCTTTTATATCGTCGTAAATCTGAATGATTTGGGGAGCCTTCCCTAAATTAATTGGTTGACATCATAGAATTTCAGGAGTCTCTGGAATAATATTCTCCTTAATTCTAGAATCTTTCATAAAATCCAACAAATTAGAACTTTTTAACTCCAGTTCTATAGCACTAATGTGATTAACATCTTGTC